TGCCCAGGTGGAGGACACCCTTCCCTGTGTGCCTTCTGCTCCTAACCACGCTGCTCTGGCAGGGCTGGTCCTGGACTGGCGCTGGCTGGCCGTGGCAGGGGAGGTGCCCGTGCTCACCATGATCATCCTGCTCTGCTTCATGCCCAACTCGCCCCGGTTCCTGCTCTCCCAGGGGAAGGAGGACGAGGCCCTGAGGTCGCTGTGCTGGCTGCGGGGCAAGGACACGGACTATGGTCGGGAGTATGAGCAGATCAAGGACAGCGTCAGGAAGCAGGTGAGGAGGTCACCTCCAGCACAGGGGAGATGTGTGAAAACTGCAACATCCAGCCTCCTTTGGGCAACTCCTGAGCCATCCTCTGCGGGCCATGGTGGTACCCAGAGGGGGTAACACCTCAGCTTTCTGGCGTTGTCCCCTTCAGAGCCAGCGGGTTTCCTGTGCTGAGATCAAGGATCCCTTCATCTACAAGCCCATCCTGATCGCAGTGGGGATGAGGTTCCTGCAGCAGCTCTCGGGTGTCACCTGTGTCCTCGTGTACCTGCAGTCAATATTCAAGAAAACATCCGTCATCCTGGTGAGCCCCAGGGTCTGGCCTGTGCTCAGACTGCCTTTGTCCTCAGTGATGACTGCCCAGGGCTCCAAGCCCCCCTGGAGCTCTAAGACCCCAGCTCTGAAGCTTTGTTGAAAGCACGTGGCTGGCAGGAACTGCCAAGCACCTGCCCTGCAAGAGGCTGCACGAGGACGGGGAGCAGGACTGTCCTCACTGTCTCCCTGCTCTCCACCTCTGAGCTTCAGGCTCTTCTCTGGCCTCATATCACAGGATAACCTTGACAAAGGCATTGGCCAGACTCAAGGTAACCCCTGTAGGAACCTGCCCTTTCCCTGGCTCTCCTGTCCCAGCTTCCCTGCTGCTTTTGCCGTTGCAGAAGCCCGAGTACGACGCGGCCCTGGTTGGCTTGGTGAGGCTCTTCTCGGTGGCCATCGCTGCCGTGTCGATGGACAAAGCTGGGAGGAAGATTCTTCTCTTTGTATCAGGTAGGTCTCTCTCCCACTGTTGTGCAAGGGCAGCTTTTATTTAAGGATTTCCAGCAGCTCTGCAAAGGTGCAGGAATGGAGTTTTCAGCCATAGAGGACTTGGGCAGGGAGTGGGGGTGGTCTCTTTCCTTTGCTCTTGAGCAGAGGTGTTCCCAGGAGCTCAGTCCTTGGCACGGAGAGGATCATCCACCCATCGATCCCACTGTGCTGTTGCATCTCTCCACAGCTGGTATCATGTTGGCCTCCAACCTGACCATGGGGCTCTATGTCCACTTCATGCCAGCTTCTCAGAATGGCACCATTGCCAACAAGACCCTGGTGAGCTCTGCCAACCTTCCTGCAGAGCCGACAAACTACATCACCCTCATCCCCCTCCTGGCAACCATGTTCTTCATAATGGGTAGGTGCAGACAGTGAGACCAGGACCCACAGCACAGGGCTGGGTACCAGCCTGGGGACACGTCTCTCATCTGAGGCAGGGTGATATGGAGAAAGGAGATTGGGCTTGGAGCTGGAAGGGAGGCAGATGTCACTGAAATATGAGGAAAGATGACATCTCAAGTCACCTTGAGGAATAACAGAGCATGAATGGGGGGGAATAATGATTGATTGAGGAGCAGGACAGGAGTGCACAGGGCTCTTCTGCACTCCTCAGGGGGCTTTGAAGCCTCAACAGCCTCAACCTTACCCCTGTACCCCCTGCAGGTTATGCCATGGGCTGGGGCCCCATCACTTGGCTGCTGATGTCAGAGATCCTCCCTCTGAAAGCTCGTGGGGTGGCCTCGGGCCTCTGCGTTGTCGTGAGCTGGCTGACAGCCTTCACCCTCACCCAGTTCTTCCTCCACGTCGTGGTGGGTACTGCCCTGGGAGGGTGCCCAGCACCCCTCTCCAGACCCTCTCTGCACCAGCTCACCTCTCCTCTCTGTCCCACTTTCTAGGAAGCCTTCGGCCTCGAGGTGCCCTTCCTGTTCTTCGCTGTCATCTGTGCTGGGAACGTCTTCTTCACAGGCTGCTGTGTTCCAGAAACCAAAGGCAGGTCCCTGGAACAGATCGAAGCCTTCTTCAGGACTGGCCGGAGGTCGTTCATGAGGTAGGAGCTGCCATGTGCCAGCCGTGCCAGGCCACCAGGCCACACACTCAAGGGCAACAAAGGAAAGGGTTGTGCTGCTGGAGGTGGAGGCTGGAGCTCTCTGTGAAGGCAATGGGAGAGGAACAGGCAGCAGTGATCACCTCACTGTGGATGTAGAAGCTGCCAGCTGGAACTTTACCTTCCTTTCCCATCTTTCAACACTACCTGTTGCACTCCACACGTTTCAACCCAAGGTATGGGACCAGCTCACCAGCACCAGGCTGGAAATAAAGAAGTCCTGGAAAATAAAAGGTGTGGCTGTGAACCTTTGCTCAGCAGCCACCAAACCAGCCCGAGAGCCCCAGGATTTGGCTGGAACAATTAATAGCTGTAGCTATTTTGGCAAAAGTTCATCATGTAGTTGCAAGAATAAAACAGTTTTGCCTCCAACTGCAAGATGTTGCCTTGATTTGCAGAGCAGAGAGCTGCAGTGGGTGGGGTGAGAAGCACTTCAGGACTGTGACACGGGCACCACAGCAGCCTGGAGGTTCCCAGAGGAGTCCCATGTGCTTAAGGACCGTGAAAGAGGCAGAGCCAAATATTTTGTATAAAAAGCTGCCACTTTTTATTGCTCTAGAAACACACGTTACACTAGAAGCCTAAAGAACAAGACCAAATACAGTTCACAAAGAAAATCCAGGACAAAACAAAGGAGGGGAACAGACAAACATTCAGCTGTAGTGCAAGTGATTCACTGTAAGAAAGACACGGTGGGTACCGACAATACTCTGTACTGGGTCCTTCCCACCACAGGGTTTTATTTTCCACAGAGAGGAAGGTGGATGTGCCTCCATCACAATCACATGTGGAGCCTCCACCACTTTGATATTTCAAACTGCATAGTTAGTAGCAAATTATTCCTACCCCTTTTCCTGTGTGTCCTGCAAGACTAAGGACTTTTTATTTTTTTTAGAGCCTAACCCTAGGTAAAACACAGCTGCAGGAGGTGGTTGTGGCTGCAAGGAGCACATGGCCTTGCTGAGTAGCACATCCACCCTCACTCCTCCCAAAGGGGCAGAAGAACAAAGGCTAAGCTGGGAGATGATTTGCCTGAGCATTTGTTGAACCTCCTGAAATGCCCTTGGCACCCTGAGGGTTGGTGGAGGTGCTTGTGTCCTCCTGGAACATTCTGCTGTGACAAGGAAGCATGGACTAATGGAGCACACTTGACCCAGATCTCCAGATACACTAGTTATTATTCAGATCCCCTGCAGCAGGAGATGAGAAAAATCACCTAAGAGATGTGCTTCATCAGAGGATTAAAAGCAGCCTGGGACAGAGAAAGAGAGATGGGTCAAAATCAAAACCACAGAGAAAATTCAGTATTAGACAGAATCTTTGCAGCTGAGACACATTTCCAGAAAGATGTTCAGCCCTGGCTGGAAGATGACTGTTTCTAAGCATGGTCTGATTAAGAGAAGTCTCAAGAGCCTCTGGTTTCCACTGACCTTCTGAAGATCAGGATCTCTGGCAGCCCTGTGCTAGAGCATTCCCTCTCACATGGCTATGGACCAGGTCTTGATATCTTCACTTCAGTGAAACCCTTCCCTGAAGACAGTGCATGTTTTTTCCTGAGGAAAAAAATGACAAAGATGAATTGAGCTTCCCAGGCCTTGTCCTAAGGAGGTAATGCCCAAGTATGAAATGAGGTTGGACTCTTCCAAGTCCTGTGAGAACCTCACTGGAGAAATATTTTCTGAGTGACCTCCTTTCTTCAGCATAGAAAGCCTGAGAGTTTTTTTGCTACGGCATTTAGTGTCTGAGAAATCACAGTGGCTCTTTCCAGAGGTAGAATGGTCTTTTTATTCACTGCACACACAGAGAATCCATTGGTGTTACAAAACCAGCTCCTGCCCAGAGCAGCAAGGTCTGGGTAGGCAGCAGGAAGGGACCTTCTGCTCTTCTCTTCACAGTCCCAGAGGAGAGTGGAGCTAAGATGCACAACCTCAGGGCTGAACAAGGTGTGGAAGAGTTGCACGTGGATAAATGCACACGGGTCAGAGGTGCCCAGCTCCCACAGTGGTGGTGTGACAGTCCAGCTAAGTGCACGTGTGCTGCCAGTACCCAGGTGTCTTTCCACACTTGGTGTCAACAACTCACTGTAGCCAACGCATCACCAGCTCTTGAGTTCTCACCTAACCAAACTTCTGTCCCACTGGCTCCCAAGAGGCCGTTCATGGACCTAAGCAAGCAGAACCTCCTCCACAGAGCCCCTGTGGATCAGCCACCCAGCCTGGATGCCAGCAGCAGGGATTGGGCTGAGCCTGTAAAATTCTAGAGCAAAGCCTTTAACATCACATATCCTTACACAGCTCCAAGCACCCTGATGGTGCCTCTAAACACAACTAACCACCACCATGCACTGCCAATGGGCCTATTAACTACTGTGATGCTACTACTCTAAAGGTCCTTTCTATCTCCACAAAGATCTCTTGCCCATGCAGAGGTGAGACCATCCACTAACTGTCACTACAACTTTTAAAAGCCACGGGTACTGTCCCCAAGCCAGCCCTGCAATGATGGCAGCATCTGGCTTGGTTTCACTGCATCACACACAGCCAAAATTCCCAAGAGCTCCCACGCCAGGCATGCATCTGTAGGAGTCAGCACTCCTGGAGCAGGGATCTGAGACACCTCCTGTTGTGGCAGGCATGGAGATGCTGAACAGACCCGGTGTCTTTAAGCACTGTGGCCAAAGGCTCCAGCTCAGCTCCTACAAAACAGTCCCTGAGGCCCATTTTCAACAAACCCCCTGAGCTCAGAGCTGAGCTTTGCAGCCTGCTAAC